AATATTTCTGAGCGTTACAATATTATTGAAAAATCTCAGAATGTCTGAGATTACATACAGGGGACCATAGGGTCGGGGGCCCTGTGGACAGCCGCAGGAGAGCGCATACTATTACGCCACTGATCAATAAATTCTGAAATCCAATTAGAGTTTGCTGACATCGAATGATACATTGTTATTAAATATCGAAAACGATCTTTAGTATGTGTATTGGGTTCATTTGAGAATTACACATTTTACAGGGTCACATGCTTGTGTGTGTACAAAATATAAAATAAATAAACAGTCCCTACTATTATTTATTTTGTAATTGTGTATACCGTGATTTCTATATTTCTATAATAGTATTTCCCATAGTCATGTATTCATTGAAAATACATGTATCATGCTGTAATTTATATCTTATTGAAAAACTTAGATAAGATAATAAAAATAGTGAACATCAAAGAGATATTAAGGCCATTTTTTGTGGCTATGATACTATATACTAGTACGGTTTTACACATCCTTAAAATATTGAGAAATATATTTCACAAGAACGATATATTCAATGATAAATTGGATTATACAAATTACAAATATATCAAAAAAAAATCATCACATAAAAATATCTATTTATTTAATTAAAGTATTAATTGTAAGTATTATTATTATTATATGCTATTATAGCAACGCGTTTAGGTGAACATACGGTACCAGTATAAGTAGGACTTTCACCTAGACCAAATTACTAACAAGGTGGTGAGAAAGAGAAATTTATATATACAACGATAATTTTAAGTCTTTTTAAAAACTTAACCTTTGATGATCAGTTTTATAATCAACACCAGAAGCTTCCTATATCTTCTATATATAGAGCTGGGTTAGATCTAATTTCTTGTAAGATATATAAAAGCTCAATAAATTCTTTTTCATCACAATTTTTGAATATAATTGAGGTTTTCTATCCAGTAGCTAGGACAATGCTTTTCTTCAATAACTTTCTTCAATCTCTCTAATAAGCACATAAAACATTGTTCAATATTTTGTGTTTCCCAAAATTCTGCAGGATGCTTCTCTAACTCCCAAAAAAGCAATGTTTTTAGCTGATATGTTTTTAAACCTTCATTATAGTATGAAAGATGATCCTTGAATATAATTTTCAGGGCAAGGTAGCACGCTTTAGCCGTCTTTGGGATGCATGAACAAAGGTGTGTTTCGGATTGAGGAAAGGATACCGTCCATTCCCAGTCGTCATCGTCATCCTGTGAAGACTTTGAAGATTTTGGAACAAGAACAAATCCACTTTTAACAACATGCTGAATATCCGACGGTAGAGGCCAATGTCTTGGACGCGTTAACCACTTTTGAGCACATTTAGGCCATTTTTGTTGACAGTGGATACCAAATACAAAATTTCCTTCAAATGTTACAAATTTGTGATTTTCATTCCAGTACCATACTTGACCTATTGGAAACAAGGCCAATTTAATGGCCGGTCCCTTTGTTTCTAATTCTATGAAAGGAGGATGTTTGAATGGACCAACTATCCGAGATGCAGGCAAATCATGTTCATTAATGGAATTCACTGATTTGAGCATAGCTGTTCTTATTAATGCAGGCGATAGATATGTTCCATCACAATCGTTTTTAAGAAAACATGTCAATGGATTTTGTGCATCGGAATCCAATACAATTCTTATAATACCAGGGTTATTCATCTGCTCTTCAAGCAGAAACAAACATGGCTTGTCTTCTATAAGGTTTGGTTTTCTTTCTTCGGTGTACTTTATTAAAACGTCGATATCAGTACGAAGACTCGAATAGGACGTGTTACATGGTAAACAACAGCAAAAAAAACGTAGTAGAAAACGACACAATGGATCTCGGTAGCCATTTTTTAACTCAAGAACATAAGGCTTTCCTAGTCCCTCTGCTGAACTACCTACTAAAGAGATATCTAATTCTTCACATTTAAGCTTCGTATGTTACTAGTTTCAGTTGTTAGTTTTTCTAATAGATGTTTTTCTAGTACCTGTGTATAATAAAAAATCTCATTTGACATTTTCCTTCAGTACTTAATATTCTTAAAGAAATTTCAGCCTCGGTGCTTTTATACTAGATGTGTTCTGTAAATGCGTTTTGCGAACGAAGGAGGAGTTGTCCAGCAATAGGTAGTTTTCCCACCTTAACGTTAACGAATGACGTCATAATTTATTCATCTTGCGTTGCAGAGTACGTAAAATTCAGGATTTTACGTGCTCGACGTACGTTAGTTACGGGTTTGCGCAGGCGTATTTCGACTTGTTTACAAAAATTAACGGAGCTATCGCGTTGCGTGTTTGGTACTAACGTTAAGACGTTAAAGTTAAGGTTAACGTCGTGCGCCGAAAACTACCTATTAACAAACACAAAACTTTATCACAAACGTTTTAAAATTGGTACACGTTTTTTTTTTTTTTTTTTTTTGTTTGTTTGTTTGTTTGTTTGTTTTTTTTTTTTTTATAAGAACCAGTACAATGTTGCCCAGGCTTATGTTTTAGTCGATTTCAGGCTCAAAATGTTCTTATTTTGTTCTTATTTTACAAAATTTTCAAAATTGAAAATTGTCATTGTACAGCAGCATACTACTGTACTGGAATGTAGTTAGAAATGGCCCGGGAAAATGGGCCCTGATAAAAGGCCCAGGAAAATTGGCCCCAGAAAAAAGGCCCGGTAAAAATGGCCCCGAATGAGAGTACCGGTACTTTTTCAAAAACCGAAAGGTCTACTGATTAATCTCAGATAAGATAGTATGATACATACTCCAAGTATCAAAATGCACGCCATCGTGTCGGGATTCAATATTTCGACATTAATTATGTCATTATCAGGAATGATGAATAGCAAAACTGATGATGACATAATTAATGTCGAAATATTGAATCCCGATAAGATGGCGTGCATTTTGATATTAATAGTAGGCTCCTATGTAGTATACTATCTTAAATGAGAGTACATCTACTGATTAGAGGGTATTACATAGTGACATTTACTGCATATAAGGTACAGATATAATATTTTGGCTTTCCTTTAAAAAAAAACAAAAAAAAAAAACCTCATTTGACATTTTACCCCAGCCTCATTTCTTCCTATTTTGTTCATAATTTTTAAGCAACTTTAGCCTCAGTGTTCTTATTACAAAAAAAAGCTACCTGAGGGTGAGTCATTGTTGACGAGGAGTGAGGTTCATGTGGGACAAAGCCCACAGACATACTGCAATGAAAGGAATTAAGAGTCTTGCGTTTATTATTTAGAATTCTGTAAATTATAAGCTCATAATTATTTAATTCAGGTGTATTTTGGAGTGTGTGCTCCAAGTTAAATAAATGTAAAAACAATTGAGAACACAATGTACAATTATAAATTTGAGGCTGACTTGCGAAACACAAATTTATTAAAATATGATAAAATGGATATTTCTCGATAGCCTCTGCTATCTAAGTTAAAGTTAGTAAACTTGGAAGATCAGTATAATATGCATCTAAATAGTAGTAAGCAATCAGAACCGAGTAAAATATGCAATCAGTTGATGAATTAAGTAACAATTAAACAATGATAAGTCGTCGGCAAATATATAGATGGTTACAAGCTAAACATTCTTCAGTCAGGTATTTACGTAGGTCTAGTACAGATCTCATGTCATGGTACCTAAACTACAAAAAGGATCTTTTTGAAAAACATTATAGTTCTAAAGTAAACTACGGCAGTCATGCAAACAGCCACGTACCCTTTAAAATCTTATTTTATTCTAATTTCTTTTGTTGACATAGACCTACCTCAAAACTTTATGCCATGTCACGATGCACTAGAAAAATGATCTTTTGAAAACATGTTTCTAAAACAAACTATAGTATTCGTGTGAACAGCCGCGTAACCTTGAATTCATAAAGTTGGATTTCTAAAGTTTCTGTATTCAGGTATTTACATTAGACCTTACAGCCCTTCATGCTATGGTAGGATGCACAACAAAAAAAAATTTTTTCAAAAATATATTTCTAAAGCAATTGAAATATCGGCACGCACGTTTATTGTCAACGTTTTTGAATAGCATTGGTGATCTACTTCAAGTTTTGTATTTACTTCATAGCATGAAATTACCAATAAACGAATTATAATGTACGTGACTTGACCATTTGTTCTGAATATCCTTGTATTTTTCCGAATATTTTTATAGAAATATTTCTGAGCGTTACAATATTATTGAAAAATCTCAGAATGTCTGAGATTTGAGAGCTTCGCCTGTGAAACCGCACACAGGGGACCATTATGGTCGGGGCCCTGCGGACAGCCGCAGGAGAGCGCATACTATTACGCCACTGATCAATAAATTTTGAAATCCAGTTAGAGTTTGCTGACATCGAATGATACATTGTTATTAAATATTGAAAACGATCTTTAGTATGTGTATTGGGTTCATTTGGGAATTACACATTTTACAGGGTCACATGTTTGTTGTATGTGACATTTTATTGTGTGTACGAAATATAAAACAAATAAACAGTCACTACTATTATTTATTTTGTAATTATGTATACCGTGATTTCTTTCTATAACAGTATTTCCCATAATCATGTATTCATTGAAAATACATGTATCATGCTGTAGTTTATATCTTATTGAAAAACTTAGATAAAATAATAAAAGTAGTGAACATCAAAGAGATATTAAGGTCATTTTTTGTGGCTATGATACTATATACTAGTACGGTGTTACACATCCTTAAAACATTGAGAAATAAATCATCACATAAAAATCATCACATAAAAATGTCTATTTATTTAATTAAAGTATTAATTGTAAGTATTATTATTATTATATGCTATTATAGAAACGCCTTTAGGTGAACATACGTTACCAGTACAAGTAGGACTTTCACCTAGACCGAATTACTAACAAGGTGGTGAGAAAGAGAAATTTATATATACAACGATAATTTTAAGTCTTTTAAAAACTTAACCTTTGATGATCAGTTTTATAAATCAACACCAGAAGCTTCCTATATCTTCTATATATGGAGCTGGGTTAGATCTAATTTCTTGTAAGATATATAAAAGCTCAATAAATTCTTTTTCATCACAATTTTTGAATAAATTGAGGTTTTCTATCCAGTAGCTAGGACAATGCTTTTCTTCAATAACTTTCTTCAATCTCTCTAATAAGCACATAAAACATTGTTCAATATTTTGTGTTTCCCAAAGTTCTGCAGGATGCTTCTCTAACTCCCAAAAAAGCAATGTTTTTAGCTGATATGTTTTTAAACCTTCACTATAGTATGAAAGATGATCCTTGAATATAATTTTCAGGGCAAGGTAGCACGCTTTAGCCGTCTTTGGGATGCATGGACAAAGGTGTGTTTCGGATTCAGGAAAAGATACCGTCCATTCCCAGTCGTCATCGTCATCCTGTGAAGACTTTGAAGATTTTGGAACAAGAACAAATCCACCTTTAACAACATGCTGAATATCCGACGGTAGAGGCCAATGTCTTAGACGCGTTAACCACTTTTGAGCACATTTAGGCCATTTTTGTTGACAGTGGATACCGAATACAAAATCTCCTTCAAATGTTACAAATTTTTGATTTTCATTCCAGTACCATACTTGACCTATTGGAAACAAGGCCAATTTAATGGCCGGTCCCTTTGTTTCTAATTTTATGAAAGGAGGATGTTTGAATGGACCAACTATCCGAGATGCAGGCAAATCATGTTCATTAATGGAATTCACTGATTTGAGCATAGCTGTTCTTATTAATGCAGGCGATAGATATGTTCCATCACAATCGTTTTTAAGAAAACATGTCAATGGATTTTGTGCATCGGAATCCAATACAATTCTTATAATACCAGGGTTATTCATCTGCTCTTCAAGCAGAAACAAACATGGCTTGTCTTCTATAAGGTTTGGTTTTCTTTCTTCGGTGTACTTTATTAAAACGTCGATATCAGTACGAAGACTCGAATAGGACGTGTTACATGGTAAACAACAGCAAAAAAAACGTAGTAGAAAACGACACAATGGATCTCGGTAGCCATTTTTTAACTCAAGAACATAAGGCTTTCCTAGTCCCTCTGCTGAACTACCTACTAAAGAGATATCTAATTCTTCACATTTAAGCTTCGTTTTAGCAGCGTTTGCAATTACTACGATACATTTTTTAGTTGTCTCGTCTAAGATGTTAAAACGTTGAGGTTGCCAGGTGCATTGAGAATCGTGAATAGACATTAGAATATCAACTAATTGTCTGCGAGCACATTTACAGAAACATATTGTCCTCCTCTTTATTTTAACTGGAAAGTATCGTTTTAAGTGAGGCCAACAAACAGAAAGGAAAGCCTGAAAAAAAAAGACAGAAAAAAAAATAACAATAAGAATATTACAAAATTAAGTTAACTTCATTATCTATTGTAGATATTAGGCTTATTTTGATTATAAAAGTGTAGAAAATGTAAGTCTTCAAGATGTAAAAAACTTCTATAATTTGTTTTACAACATGTCTAGCTGTTTTACAACATTTCTAAGCTGATACGTAAATCCATGGCAAAGTCAAAAGCAGTTGAAAGTTTGGATAATTCGGGCACTTGTGTCAGTTGAAATGTCCGTTAATTATTATTGTTAAAATTTAAAACAAAGATCTCCTTCATATCGTTATATGATATCTTGCCCGTACCGTAAGTGTAGTTACAATAAGAAATGAAAGTTGATAGAAAATGTTTTACTATAGATTTTATAGACAAATTGTTGATAAATAGTCCTGGGTAATGTACATTACATAGGCCTACTTGTTTAATTAAGATTAAATGAGAAATACGATGTGTTCGTTGTTACATTGATCGACGTTACAAATTTGTATGCAAGAACCAATTGCATATAGACCAATCTAGATCACAAAAATAGAAATAAGAACAAATACACATTAATTTACCCTATACTTTATTCGAATTCCTTGTTATTAATAAACAAAATTATTTCGTAATATTTTTGCAGCAATTTTGTATTAGAGATAAATATACGTCTGTGTACTTACCGACAGATATACAAACATAAAACAGACGACGCAACACGTCATCAAATAGCATAGAATTGCTATAAATATTAACATTTTAGGTTGATAGTCCCACTGAATTTTATAAAACTTCCACGTCCGCATTTCAGGATAATTTATAATTTCACGTATTATGCTATAGTAAACTAGCATACACGAGAACACAAGCATGCACAAAGATAGAGTATACAACACTATTACTCGTCTTTTTGATCTGTGGATTAATCCTGGCATATTTTTAGGCTGTACTGGTAATTGTTATAATGTAATGTTGGCTTTACAATGAAAACTTACTGTACACTCTAACTCGAAAACATTCAACCTACTGAGTGAGCAGTGAGTTGTTTGAAATTTATCATAATATTAAGCATGGATGAACAATTTTTCAACCGAAAACCTGATCTATATATCCGCTGAGACAACTTTACATTGGATTGGAAATGACCCGAGATTTCATTTGTTCTTCCATTCCGGCGATTGGTTGTGTTTTGCATGCTTTTTGGTTACTGCTACATTGCAATGCTCACTGAAGAGTACTCCCGACGTTCCATTAAACCTGTATTTATTTATTGTTCAATGTACGGTAAGATAATAAATAGGAATACTATTTTTGAATCAAGCAACCACTAGCTGTACAGTAGTGAAGAATAGGCTAGTCCTAGATAAAGCCCTGTCGGATAAGATCAAAAGATGTGTAGGTAAACACTGCCAGCTCATGCCAGTGTGAAAAAAAAACAAATGTACAGTACTCAAATTTAAGTTTGACAATGCCATTTTCGGCCATCTGGGGTTCCATGATCAAAAAATTCCTTACCTCACCCCCGAACCATGGCGAGGATGAGGTAGGTGGACCTCTATCTGTGAAAGTCCCTCCCTGGACCCCTTCTATTACGAATTCCAGGATATGCCACTGACAGACGACCTGAAATGCATGTATTCTTAAGTAGAGGGGAGAAATGCAGATCCTAAATGCATTTCCAAGCATTTAGAAATAACATTTCTGGGAAGGGGTAGTTGTAAGGTGAGAGGAGATGGGTGTGAGGTGGGAGGAGGGAATCGATCTCTATACCCCTAGGGGAAGAATTTTCAAAAATATCAAGCCTGTATATTTGTCTTATTTGGAATCTTTTTGGTTGGAGCTGAGGTTCGATTTTTTAAAGACTCCAGATAGTATAATTATGTCAGGTCTGGTCACTATGCAATTAAATGCCTAGGCTAGGCCCTTGTCTAATAGTGAAATTATGAACATCGCTGCCAAATTTTATTTAGTCATTTAGTTTACATCTTTGGTAAATTGTGCTTTTATTAAAATATTTTAAAATTTATTATTAGTTTACTTTTTGTAAATGGAAAACTCGATTGCGTTTACGACGCAAACACAGCACATGTGTAGAAAATACATAATTTTTTACAGCCACATTTGCAGTAAATTTTACTCCTCTTTTTCTCTTTAATTTTAATATTCATGAGTTACCTTTGGCACACTTAAATTAATCCAGATTCCAGAACGCTATATCTACCCGCTGATCCCCAACACATTTATTTTCAATGTACAGCATTCATTCCCGCCAGATTTATACAGTTGTTATTAGTCCTATATCGAAATGTCATTGCTGATATTTCATGCAATTAAAATTTGAAATAGGTCGGCGGGAACGGCCCACTCTGACTTTCCGCTGGCGCCATCACTGACTCGTGCATGAGCTTTAAACATTAATAACATATTTGGTGAGTCTGTATATAATAATAAACATTAAAATGTATGTGCTTGAATGTTGGTGACAAAATATATGTATATTTTCCATGTTACTTATAATAAAAAAACAATGCTTATTCCTTCATTTTATTCCTTTCTAATTTTAATTGATAGCAATGCCTTCAAGTGTTTTCCGACAGCATTGTTGTTTTCCAGTATTTTGCCTTTTAATTCAGGCTCTTTTCTGACCCACCCATCATGTTTTCAAATCACAGTATACTGTGCTTTTGTACGACGTGTCATCACCGTCGCGACGGTGACGGTAAGATTAGGCACACTTACATGGGTTGTCATGATTTCGACAAAACTAGACGGTAGAGTATAGCCTCTCTTCATTCACTGAGTGAATGCATTCAAGGGAAATATCATTAGAATATGGAGTTTCTGGAGGTTGGCATAACATCAGTTTACTTGGATGATACTACAAGCTGTACAGAAATCATTACAGTAGTCTACAATGTCGAGATTTAGGAGACCTAGATATTTTAAATCCTGGGGCGGATGCAGAGGGGTTGCAGACGGTACGCTCTCCCCTTCCCTAAGTTGTATTAAGAAAAATAAATGTTGTATTGTATTGTTGTGAGGTATGAGAGTGCAATTTCCGGGCACCTAGAGGCAGGCGCTTTGAATTTCAAATCTTTCTGTCAAAAATGTCACCTACCTAAACCAAAGACAAAAATATATAGACAAAATAAATTGTCAAAAGAGGGACTGTAAAATCAACTACGCGATAACGAACGGTACACTGTTGAGTTCTTTTATTATTATTATTATGATTATGATTTATGTCACAATGTATGGTTAATACAAAATAAATCAAGATGTGTATAAGAGACAGGCGTATGTGTGTGCAAAGGAAATCTTGAAGAGGCATTGTTCAATTGAATTGTCAAACATACAATTTTTACTATGACGACTTGTCAAGATAATCTATCTCGCCATGTCGACATGATATGTATATTATGTCGACTTGACAACATAAATTATCTTGACAAGTCGTCAAGTCGAATGGCACTTAGGTGCTTCCGTACCTTAGGTGCTTCCGTAATTTAGGCCTAAGGAAATATAAATGTATATGGGTCTGAACTTTGTAGGTGACAAAGTGTTCTTCCATATGTTGTGGTCATATTAGAAAATAATATCATTAAAAACTGTTCAACAAACAACATGAAACGTATATCACACTTTTCGGTTAAACTTTCCGCTTCCGAGCATGCATATAACGTAATTTTTTAGATATATGATATTTTCATGACAGTCGAGAATGTACTGATTATATAAATTGTAGATAATTACTGTTTTGCGATTGATGTGCATTGAATATATGACGACGAACTTGGGATAAGGGCCTCGGTTGACACTCATATCAAAGGGCCTGTTAATTAACCTTGCACAGGAGCCTGTCGTCACCTGCTACGATGCCTTCTTCTTCTCCTTATCATCATCATCATCATCATCATCACATCATTATCATCATCATCATCATCTTCATCATCGCAATTATTAATTGTCCATGGTAAAATGGGGGAAAACTATGAATTCAGCGTGTAATCATTCATCAATAGAAGTCTCGTAATGCACGTAAGTGGATTTCTTAGCATCTAGAAAACAAAACTTTCCGAAGCTAGAAGAACCCCAAGAATACCACAAACCACACCCTCCCTCCACCGCTCCACGTCTAAAATAGTCTTTCAGCGACGGAACAAGCAAACATTACGTTCTCTTCCCATGACCCCGCCCACTCAGGGACCCCATATGTGCGCTAGTCAGAGTAAAGCTCGGTTTCCATAGAATCGCTCACCCTATCGGCGACAGTCGCCGACAGCTGTCGGGAAGGTTGAACCGTGAACCTTGCTTCAACTTTTCCGATTGCGTTGCAGACGCAGACTAATCAGGGTTCATTGCTAGCTGCCCTGTGCAATTGGGAAGGCACCCCGATTCGTCTGTGAACCACAACTGTCACGACTGTCGCCGATAGGGTGAGAGATTCTATGGAAAAACCGAGCTAAAACTCTGGATCCGCGCCTGAGAGGTCCCTCAAAATGTTCAATTTTCTCAGCCCCAACCATGGTGTGGGCAGTGAGGTGGACCCTCACGCACACCCTACCGCCAAATCCTGCATCCGCCCCAGAAATCAATTTGATTTAAACACACTACACTTTCGATCTGTTGGGACTAGTGAGGTAGGCCTGTTACCAGGGACGTATCCAGGCGGGAGCCGTGGGAGCTGCAGCTCCCCCACCCCTTTGTACACTGTGTAAACAATTTAAATCTTGTTCTTGAGCCAATAAAAATTTTTTTCCTGGGATCACACAAAATGAATGCTTCTAAACGTGACGTAAATATGCATCAGTCCCGGCATCACTACACGTTACAATAACACATAGGCCTAAGCGTGATTTTTAAAAATCTTAAATCATTAAATCCCAGACCAGTCTTTTAAGACAAGAAAGAGATGTTGTATGGTTCAGTTCGGTTTTTATATTTTTGCAAGCTTCTCTAAAGTTTTGTTTAATAATACTAGCCTACCTAGTATATTAATAATAATAATAATAATAATAATAATAATAATAATAATAATAATAATAGTATTAATAATAAATATAATAATAATAACGATGATGATGGGGTGATAATTTTATAATAATATTATATAATAATATTAATAATATTAAAAAGTGAAGAAAATTGTGTTAATGGCGAAAAAGAAAATTGTGATTTGTTGATCACAATTATTATAGTATAGTTAAAGCTTAGTAAGCCATAGTTAGGCCTAAATTGTCCTGGATATTATGTAGATCCCTGATCGCTTCATTTTGACTATAATATAGTCAAATATATATTTTGACTATTATATAATATAATGGTGATTTGATGATGATGAATTTTACTATATAAAAGTGTCATTTCCGGCCATCTAAGAGTACTATTTCCTTAAATTTTCTCGCCTCAGCCCCAACCATGGTGGGGCTGATCAGGTTGTTGTGAAGTCACAGTTTTTATAAGTATATAAAGTACATACAGTAGTCAAAGACAATTTTTTTAAGCTTTGTTTCTTTGGTATATCACACATATCAATAAGATGGTTGCCGAAAATCCCTGATAAAAGATCATGAGATTCTTTTTTTGGCGCTTCATTTTGACTAATGAAACAGATCTGCGCCCTTCCCTGGGTATGACATTAAATTCCATCGAGTCGGCACCAGGCCTGGGATTTATCAATATCAGCTTAGCAAATGTCTTACGTGAAAAATGGTATTTCTCTTTCTCTCTTCCTTAAACTAAATGATGAAAAGACAGAGTACATTTCAATTATTTCACGTCGACAGCTTGAAAAACTTCCACAGAATAACCTCACCATTGGAGAATCTCAAATTTACTCCTCGTCGCTTGTTAGGAACCTTGGTGTTATTATGGATGCTACTTTGACAATGAATAATCACATCTCTAAAATTACCTCCACTTCATTTTTCCATATACGCAACATTGGTAGCATTA